TACCATATAGGTTTAGAATTCAATATGCTATATTCTAGCTCATTTAATTCAATAATTTGCATTAAAATAATCGTTCGTGTGGTAGCAAATGGGAAATTTTATATTATATTGTGCTGTTTATGCATTCGGTCACTTCATATTTTAAAACATTATTTCGATTAACTCTTCGTAATCATCCTAACGCATGATGCTCATTTACGATCACCTTAACAACATTTTCATATTATTGAAGATGCATAGAAACATGCATTGTTAGATTAGACCCTTTAAAAGACTCCGCAGCTTCAGACAAGGGCTTTGAAAGCTGATCGAAAGGAACTGCGAAGAGAAGAGGGAGAGAAGAAGGAATGTTTACCTTGAACGACAGAAGATTTATTGCCATATAGGGTAGGCTGCGCCTACACCCGGTACGACAATGGGTCTGGTCTTGCTTAAATCTACGGAATTTTCACTCATAACTAATAATGTCGACTAATATCTAATGCTAAAAGAATGATTCAGAAATGCTTTGTGTAGAGATCAATGAAGAATAAATAGTTAAATTAACTTGTTTCGCGAAAATGTTAGAAAATGTTGTCGCGTTAGAAAAAGTCGCTCATTTTACGATCCTCATATGGTTTAAAATTTTTGTTCGTGATAAAAGTGGTAATACATAGTTTACATAATATATCTTACTGTCCGCTAATTGAAAATAATTAGCCAGATCACCATTCCAAATTTCAGACTTGTATCTTATTTAGGAGGAGAGTTATTGGTTGCCTTCATTGTTAAGAACCCTCATAGGGATTGACGAGGCTGGCGGCCGCTCCACGGGGCTCTTAAGGCTCTGACTGAGAACCGCGAGCCCCCAGGCAGGGTCGGCTGGATCCCTATGGCGAGTATGGGATTCTATCTCTATGTTGAATCAGTATAACTCCGCTCGTAAATAAAATATCAGTCTAAATTTTTTCAGGGAGAAGTTTTCCTGATTAATTGAATCGAAGTTTAGCGACAAGGTTACATAAGCTAGAACAGTTTTGCAAATTAATCTTAACAAACTGGCATCACTCAGTAATATATCGGACAAGGTCCGTGCTAAAATTAGGCATACGTTGCAAACTTATATTCAACAGTATTTGGATCACATATGGTACTTCTTAATGCTAATAAATGAAATGTCGCGGACAAATATCGGAAGTTTGAATTGACGGGTAACTGCGCTAAATTATGATAGGCTGATAACTGTCCTGGGAAATGAGTTTCGGGGGTAACACGAGGAAACTTATATACATGGTCGCTATAAAGTCATGTTAACTGCTCATGGCAATGATGATGCCAAGAAATAGCCGAGGTCTACTTGTACTAGAGTTTTGCCAGTTATTCATCTATTACGGAAGGAGAATCTTAGCTCTTCATTCCGGATACCGGGGCCAATTTACGTGCGTTGTTGCTGAAGGGCTGAAGGCAATGTTTAATCTCATATTCATTGCAAAAAAATATAATTTAAGCAAAAAGCCAATATTCAAGGGTACGAATAATGTATCTAATCCTAATGCGTTATATAAAAAATAACAGTTATATAATAGTTTTATTTAATCACGTTTTTATTATATCCCAGTTCAATCACTATACAGTTCTTATTGTAGCACAATCACAGAAATGAGCGCTATAAGGGCGCGGTTGCTTGAATACAAGTGATACATATTAATGCCACTAGATTGCTTGAATCACAGATTCACTAGAAATCTAAAAGCGAAGAAAACTCCACAAAAATTCAACATATCTCTATTGCATGAAAACGTTTCGGAGTCCAGCTCCATCGTCAGTTCGATAAATCTAGAACACAAATGCGATCAGAAGTTAATAAAGTTTGGATTGAGAAGAAAAAAATACAGAAGTTAAAAAACCTTAATTTACAGGCAAATGGCAGAGTAATAAACTAAATACACAATTTATCTATTCACAATTTTTAGTGGATAAGAACTGAAGGCTTCATTTAAACTAGGCATCTCTTTAAAAATATACAAGGATTCCAAAATAGGCATATCGGATGCAACAGAACTAGAAGCTGAACCTTGAAGTCGGTGTCGGACACTGGAACGTTGCACGGTTCGGCGTGAGTGCGCACAGCCGAATGATATATGTTCATTAACTCTCAAAATCAACCTGTAAAACAATAATATCATGAAATAGTACCCAAGAGTCCGTACAGCAATAATAATTGCATATTCACGAAAATAGAATCAAATGCCTGAAACCTCTCTTCATTAGAATAATTTTTATTTATTTATCATCACAAAGTGGTAACCGACTGCCGCTATAGTACCTATAACTGAATTTCACATGCGCAAAGTGTCACACCTTAGGCCCCACAATAAAATAAATCACTGAATATAGGCACTATACAGCCTAGTGCAACGCATTAAATTTGTTATTATATTAGAATTTCGATGAATGCTACACATTATTTAATCATAATTTGATAATTTGAAATATTAGATAGACAATATTTAAGGGTACAATAATGAATTTAATCATTAAACTTTCTTTCTTGACATCAATAACAGAAATTAATCAAGCACGATATAAGTTACAAAAATGGACGCCATATAGGTGCGGTAGCTTCATTACATGATATATCTTTATTAACTCTCGGAATCAACCTGTAAAACAATATCGTGAAATAGTGCCCGAGAGTCCGTGCAGCAATAATTATTACGTATTCATGAAACCGGAATTGCATGTCTGAAATCTTCCTCTTTTTGAATTAATTTTTAATTTAATTTAATAATTGATAATTTACTAATAATAATTTAACAAAATCGCAGTGCATTTATTCAAGGTATCTTAATCTTCATAGCCGTTGACGCTTGGTAGCCTTCGAAGCTGGTGTATCAGCTCGACCTAAATTACACTTCAGGTACTCCGAGGCCTTTGGGGATCTTGATCTCTTAAGGGTGGTAAGCATAGCTTCAGCAGGAGGATTCCTGCTGACCATCGACCGCGCAGGAACAAGGCGGGCTGGTCGACTGCGTTCGTTCATCTTGCTCATCAAGCAACGCTTGGTGCTGAAGCATTGATGTTTTTTTGGCAGAAATTTGATTGCCGTCCCGATTGGTTCGGTTTTGCTGCTGTTCGAACGCGGGCGCACTGGCGCTGGATACGTGGCAGCTTTTCTCTGCAACTGATTTATGCCTTTAAGCAGCTGAGTTGTGCCTTTGCATGTCAGGTGACACCGAGGTAGGATGAGTTCACAGCTGAAGATGGAGAAAATATTGCGTTACATGTTTACACTGGCAGTTATTTGTGTATTTAAGACATTTCGATGTATACAAATGCTTTAATGACTAACTTTGATGGAATTTGTGAAGGCGATTCCATAAATTTGGTTTGCACAATTCTGCGAAGTAAAGGTCTCCTCTGCAGGTTTGAATGAATAATTAGCAATAAACTTTGTTTTTGTACGCTCTTAACCCCACATATAATGAGCGAGTAGAGCAGACACTTGTTGATCAATCATCAAGGTTTCTTCAAAATACTACGATAGGTAATGAGACGGTGCAAGATGATAGCCCATTCGTCGACTTGTTTTTTACGCACCCGTTGGTCGAACACAGCCGGGTCACCAGGTCTAGCAGCCACGGCACCTCCCTGTCTTCCAGCTCCACGCAGTGCAATTTTACAAGTGAATTAAGCGGCAGCAAGATGTCCTCAGGCTTTAGGCTGCGGCTCACAGCGACATCTGCATAACAAGCATGATACAAACTTGAGCTCTCATGTCCTTACCTGATGCTGTATCATATCAACTACTTTTCTATTTTCGTTTTTGGCGCTACCCATGTCCACTCCACTATTGGCTTGATGAATGAAGCATCAAAACAACGCCAAATATATAGCTATACACTCCAATAACACCTTCTTTTAAAGGCTTATAGGACAGTATATACTGACCAAGACAAATATAAGTCTAAATTTTAGCACAATATATCCCCACTCCCTTTTTGCAGCCCCCACTCATTTCCTCAATGTTGATCATCATGATTTAAGTTTTATGATTTTCATTATTACCTCCCGCACATTATTCATTTTTCTGAAAACGCGCTCAGAGAGAAACGAATGAATGACTTTTGTCGAAAAAGCGATACATTTTTCACCCTTATGTGGGCCATCAAGGCCAAATTTGGCCGGACAAAAGTGAAAATTGGTGTGACGAAAATTGGTGCCTTGTGATACATTCATTTTTCTCAGTGTGCTGTAGCGGCCCGACGTTCTGCAAAATGTCCGAGAACGAACCCTATATTGTCTTGCCTACGTACTCACTTTTACAAACGCCTAATAATGGTTTTAGCAGCAACAAGGACACTAACGTTTATCGTTGCATTTCACGGAGTTTAGAGTAGCCACGTCTTCTGCCGACTCAAGGCGTAGACCCAGAGTGCTGAATGACGTCATCTTCGCCAGAGTACAGGGCTCAACGTGGCCAAAGAAAGTCTTCAATGAACTTCTGTAGCGTGTGAAATGGAAATTAGGAATAGTAATCGAAGTAACTACGATTTTAATTCAATAATTTTTATGCGGTTAAAATTAATTTATTCACATTGTACGTACTGAAATTCCCTTTTAATTTGAAAATGGGGAATCCAGAAATATAACCAGACCTACGGACATATTTTTAACATTCGAATAGTACCTAAATTACGAATGGTAAAACTTCAGCATTATGAAGAAGAAAGGAATTCACTATTAGATAAGTAATTTCCTAAATCTTTAATGACGATGTTACAAACGAGACTAAGCAGAAAATTTATGAAATGCAGGGAAAATCAACGATACCGCGAAAAGCCTCGTACATGCCAAAGTCAAAATTACACTCGATCAGTAAAACGGAAAATCAGAGGAGATTGACCCGAAGTTCCATTGGGATCTTTTATATAAGTCGACTATTAGAGCAAACTTTATTTGATAGCAAACTTTAAACTCTAAGATAACTCTTATTTAATAGCACACTCTAAGATATGCCTAGACGAAATGACAACGTATAGCATACCCATGCTATCTAAAATTAATTCCTGATTGAAATTCAACTATAATCCTTGCCACATTACATACCCATAACCTGCACTCAGAAAAGGCTCCAGTCGGCTACAGTCCGTCAAAATCACGTCTTTTGACCAGAACGAGTCCATGATATGCAGATGAATATCTTGTTTGGCTTTGGCAAGAGCGATCAGTAGACGATGCAAACGCACGACGGGATCGTCGCCGAGAGAACGGACTAAGGTTGCTCCACAGCTCAACGGGGGAGCTTTCGGTCCCTCGTGGTCGATTAAGAATTGTTGCGTCTGGCATTCTCCGGTGATCGTCTGTAAAGCCCTAACCAGCGGGCGAAGTTTTTCTTGTATATGCGAAAAAATAACTATAATTGGGATCACTTCTCCGCTTTCAGATAAATTCATGATATCTCTGCTATCCATTCTTTTATTCAAATTCACGATTTCATTTATCTCCATGCTTGATCCTGAATCTGAAAAGGTCAGGTGTCAAATTAGGCATCGGACGCTGAAATAAAGTTGATTATCGGTTGATTTCAGGAATCACGGTGGCTCGACTGCATGGGAAATAAAAATAAGCCAAATAATTGTTCGATTCCTTGAAAATTGTAATGCATTGTCTAGCTGGTCATTAATCGTACACTTGGTCAGATTTTAACCTGGAATCAACATTGATTCAACGTTTAAAAAAACTGGTCACATTTCATCCTGAAATCAACATTGATTCAACGTTTAGAAATATATCAACATTTAAAGTACCAATGTCGACGTTCTTGCAACGTTAAAATAAGGTTGTTTTACGTCTCTTCTAGTTTTTGTCAGATTTCGACATTGATTGGACGTTTAATTAGGGTCGCTTAACATTTTAACCTGAAATCAACATCAATTGAACGTTTAAAAGTAAATCAACATTAAACGTAAAAATATCGACGTTATTCAACGTCGAAGTGGCAGACCGTCGAATCGCGGTCTGCCGCGATCCCGGGTTCGAATCTTGCTATGGTCGAATGGTTCTTCCAGCGAAGAATTAAAGTGAAGTGATTAGATCGGGTTGTAAGTAGTATATCTATATCTAATTACATACAAATTATTGCAATGAGATGCTCATGTAATGTAACAGTTACGATAAAACATGTATAATGAAATCCGGTTGCAACATTGCATTGAAGTGTCAGTGCGACGTTTCAGGAAAAACGTTGCTTTACTTTTCATTCAAAACCTATTTTCAACGCGATCCCAACGTTGAAAAAAGGTTGGTTTTTCAACGTTTATTCAACCAAAGAATTTGATGTTGCCGCAATGTCGTAGTAGCAACATTGATTCAATGTTTCATTGTAACGTCAGCACGAAGTTTCGTGAATGACATTTCTTCAATTTTCATTCTGAATCTCTTTGCACCCTGATCTCAACGTTGTAATAGGTAGTTGTTACAACGTCGATTCAATCAGCTTACTGGGCGAAACCTATACTCGAAAGCCTACTGGGGCGAAACCTCGAATCGATTTGCCTGGCAGCTTTGGTCTTTGGCGATCAAGATCGCGAACCGAAAACTGTGAGCACTATATAAGGTGGTTAAGGGGAGCGTCTCCCTCCAAAAAACTTTTTTATTTACGGACGGATCACTTTGAAACTTGGTACACATATGTAAAACAAAAATTTAAAATTTTCTTGGACGTGGGAATTTTTCGAAAAAAATGACAGAAAACGCGAACTTCATAGAAAACGGAAAAAGGAGGCATTTTTTCAAAATCCATCTCCTCATTCAATTAACGTGCTACAACATCGAGATACATATCATTCGATTCATAAAAATTATATCCAGCGATTCGCCGTATCTTTTTTTCCAAATTCTTATTTATATGGGTGGGGGGTTTTATCACCCGTTTTTCGATTTTTGCCCCAGATTATATTTTTGCAAAATATAATGCAAACTAAAACGAAATTACAAAAATGCTAAGAGCATTCTATAGATTTTTTTTTAATCGAATGTTATATCTCTCAATGCTGTTGCTTGAAAATCATAGGAGGAAATGTATTTTTAAGATGACGCATTTTGGAAATTTTAATTCTTCAGGAGAGCCAAATAAGTAAATTTTACTGAAAAAAGGAGGATATGCCAAAAGAATTGCTTTATATTGTAGCTTTCCCATTGCCAATTAGTTGCGCTTAGGGGGCCAGAACGCATCGTTAGACTTATTCTTTTACAGTTTAACGTGAATAATAAGCTGTATATGCGACTTTTGTGGTAAATTATTGCATGTACATCCATGATATATGCTTTCTTGAACGCTCATCTTTTGTAGTTTTCAAACGAGTGCAAACACTTTGCAATTAACGCAAATAATGATATATAAATACCATTTTTAAATTAAAATTTGTAAATATTGTTAGAAAAATAATCATTTATAAAAATTTGTTGAACGCGTCTAGTTTGTAGCTTTCAAATGAGTGCAAACACTTTGCAATTAACATAAATAATGATCTATATATATACGGATTTAATTTAACGAAATTTTTTAATATATTGTTAAAAAACGTTCATTGTATACATTTTTGGAATTGCTTCACGCAGAAACTAGAGCACGCACATACATGCGATGTACTGAGTTAGACGCGCCTCTTCAGCAGCTACAAAATGAGTCAAGAAAAATGAAAAGGCAAAATTTTCAATTTATGATCGAGATGCTCCTCTTACGCATTAATGTTAGTATTTATAAATCTTGAACAAGAAAATTTTTCATTGAGATCTCAGCCAAAAATATTTAGTTGGTTTCGAAAGCTGATTCTGTATTTAATTTCACTCTCAAACAAGAGTTTCATTCTAGAGTCCTAGAAGAAGACTCTAGGCACGATCAATTTTTTTTATGAACAGTCCTAACAAAAGTTTATTTGTACACTGTAGAGCCAAAAAACACACTCCAATTAATTCTTTCACATATTATATTTTTAGCCATGAAAGCAGTATTTTGAGCTAAAAAACTAATTTGTTGAATTTGTTTAGATGTTCAGTGATAACGAGTAGGCTGTGAGTCAGGCACTGTAAATGCCGACGAAGCACTGACAGCTTATAGGTGCGTATCACTAATATATCTACACTGATAGATAATGGTGATAATCCTATGCGTCATAAAAAAAACAAAGCAATTAAAATTTCCATTGTTCGTCATTGAACACCGTAGGAGTTATTTATCATCAAGATATATTTATGGGGTAGTAGTGAGCATTATTCTATTATTAATTTTCTTACTGATTTTTATTATATATTTATGTATTCATGTATTTTATGTATTCATGATTTTGATCCCGAGCAATCTGTAGGTTAAATCCAGAAAATAGGTTTTTCTAATATCTATTACAGAATCCCATGGCAAGGTGTGTATGTGTGTCGTGTCAGTTAATATTTGTTAATACTCTGTCGTGTCATCCGGTTTGTCATTTATTCCCTGAACATATGTATATTCTAGTATGATTTTGTATATATAGATCAATAAGTATTGACCTGTATATATTTTAGTGACCAGATTTGTCTTATATTTTATTCATTTCATTTGTGTTATCTCTTACCAGCAGTCTTGAACCTGGACTAAGGAGTCTGGAACACAAAGGAGTCTAGACCTAGTACGCACTGAGGATCTAGCGACCTGTTAACATCCAAGGGAAGTAGACAACTGAGAACCTGGGGCAGATCCCCTAAAACGGCGATATCTTATCAGCAAACTTATCTTCTGCTGATAAGAGAGTGGGATCAACGCAAAAGTTGCAAATGCTTTCAAAAACAACTTACATATTCACTTGCGTTCCCCGTGAGTGTTCACATCTAACGGATTCGACTTAGTTCTCAATAGATTGGCATTCATGCAGTACTTGGGCCGTTGGAACTTGAATAGCATAAAATCAAGAAGGGATATAGTATTCGGTTATCCGTGATGTAACGCAGTGCTTTGAAATGTGCAAAAAAATTCTGATCTGCAAATTTATCCCAGACTTGAGTGAGTGAAATTAAAACTATAAATAAAAAATTTGGTCGAAAATGGACACCACCTAGTGCAGCAAAAAATTTTTGAGATGAAAGACTTTCTTATAGCTACGTAATCAGACACCTGCAGTAGAAATTGTTGACAAAAACTATATAGAATGAACCTGTAATTAATTTTGGAGCCAGCCAAGCGAAAGATATTTTTTTCAATGCAAAGATATTGTAACAGTATTAGTAATGTAAACACAAACATTTTTATATCACATTGTTATTCAAATTGATAGTAAGTTATTATAGTAGTATGCGCCGAAACTTTTTCAATCTGTTATATAAATGGGTTATGAAATGGTATGATATTTAATTGTAGTAGTCTTCAAGAGTTCTAACAGATGATGCTATTCATAGCATTTGCACTTATATATTTCAATTATTTTTGATTTGAATTGTACGCAATGCCTTCTTACAACCAATTGAAGCAATGTATTTATATATAATGATGCATCATTACTCTTACCATCATTCTCATGATTTCCTCGAGGCAATACTATTAAACAGGCAAAATTATTTGGTTGCATTCATCGAACTCATATCATATCGTTTGATCAAACTGTATTCAGATAGGAATTTTTTCAAATTTTTCTTACGTTCCATTCAGCTCAACGCGATGTCGATTTAGATTCTGTGCCAAATTCGAACTTTTTATCCTAATAATTCAATGTTTATAATCTGCAAGGTACCAATTTGAAGTTCTTTGAGCATTTGATTTCCGCTATAAAAATATGTTTTCATTTATGGAGAGGTAATTTCCTAATTGATGTCCTATTTCTCAGTTGCTGGCAATTTAAAAATACGATCTTATTTAAAAACTAATTGAAGGTTTTTGTTGCTGCTTACCGGTTGGAGATTTTAAAAAATAAATTTTATATTATGATATTATAAATCGATTCTCACATAGCAAAAAATGCTTGTCAGAAAAAAAATTCTATGTACTGCCCTGCTAGTATAACCCGAATGCAAATTTAAGTTTTTATTAAATAGTTCAATGGCTGTTTTCTCTCATGTTTTTGACAGGTCTTTTTCTACTTAGACAACCAAGGCTTCATCAAAATTAAAAATGTCAAATCTTTACCTGGTAACAATAAACGCCAATTCAGAGCAAAGACATGCCTCGCATTGTTGGAAAATAGAAGGGAATCGCGAATCGCAGGAAGCCATATTACGCCTTAGGAGAAAAGAAAAGCCTGAAAGTCAACAGGTTCTTGTGATTTCTACCGCTGAAAATCCTGTGGTGCATTTAGACGAACTCCTTGTCAAATTAGCCGATGCAGGTTGTGAAATTGATCTACGTATCCTAGAATCGTTTCGTACACGAAAAGTGCGTCTTAGCGACTGCGACAGAATGGAAAAGTTCATCAACACTGGGCATGGGTAAGCGAGTCCTGTTAATCGTATAATCGGCAGTGTCTCTTGAAAAACGTGTTTCATTATGCTCCCTGAAGTGTTAAAACGAATAACCACCATATGATCATGTATCTTAAGTAAATTCGTTTGGTATCTGAATTAAATAAAGACTACGGGAGCGCGCACGTCCCACTTCTAAGTATATATTGTTTTAAAATAATAATTTTTATGAGGCTTCTTGAGAAAATTTCTTTAGATATTTTCACAAATCGAATGAATGATTTCATACGAAATCTCTTAGCTTTCACTACTGTCTGTCCCTACTCCGACGATCTGTTTAGTGTTTATATATTTCACTTCAATATTTGGTGAAGATGCATATAAATTTGGGTGCTCGGATTAGTGGAGGGATTAACCGACGGACATAAAATTAATATTCCTCTCGATTCCATTTCAAGTCACAGGTCAAAACTCAAAAGTTTTTACGGCTACGTGACATACCAAACGCGCCAACATATGGAAGAGCTGGAGGAACTCGGTCTGCATTTGAAAACAGACGAAGACATGGAGTCGCTCAGCGCCAGGGACTGCAAAAGAAGTGAGCAGCAGGCGGATGTAATTCTAAATGGGATGTGTTGTTAGGATGTACACGTCCCGCCGAAATCGTGGGAATTGTCGATTCTATTGAATCAGCAGCCATTTTGCCGAATCTGTATACTATACTATAGGAATCTGGGGTTAGGTCAGCAAGCCAAATTTTTTAATACGTAAAAATAAAGGAACTTGACCAAATTGACCAAACATTTTCTAACTTTAATGTCGATTTATGTTCTAACTCTAACTATAATGTCCGATATTCTAAATCAGCAACAAAATGTTGATTCTACACGTTAGGCAAATTGGCTGTCGATTCCATAGAATCGGTAATTTCGCGATTTCGGCACGACATACACATGGAGTGGGGATGCGGTGGGGTAGATATGAGTGAATGCGAAGGGTGGAAACTTCTCACTGACTGCTACGAATAATGTGAGAACAAGTTATTTCATCTGAGTTGCGATAAGAACATCACTGTTGTCTTTTGAGAAATACTGTACCAATCGACTGGAAGATGAAATTTGCTTGTGCTTGATTTCCAGATGTATCCGTGGATCCAAAACGGGAACTCAGCGGCAACAACCCTCTTCAGATAAATTTTGTACATGACACTTGCCTGACTTGCGTCAAGCTGGAAGACGATGAGATTCCATCGCTCATGGACGTGGCGGAGAAGCTGGTGCCAAAAGATTATCCAAAGTGCGTTTTGTATCTGAAATTAAGAATGCCTACCTGGTATAATGAATCAAAACTTAAGCTAATATTTTTTTTAATTAACAATCGCAACTTTTTACTTGCAAATATGTACCCTTTATGCCATGACATTTAGGAAGCTCTAATCATATGAAGCAATTGAAAAATAAGCTGTTCTTCATTGCATTATGATAAAATTTTGGACTAAAAATTTTGTTTAGATTTTTTTTAAGGAGGGCACATTTCCAGTCAATAACATTCTTACTTTTTTCATGAATTGTTTAAGAACCACTTACACGTTACTTAACTTAGATTATGGAGTTTTGAATAGACATTTTTGACTAGTAAATACTAACTAGATTCTATTGATGAGCAGGAATTACGAGCTGCACCTGCCTAAGAGCAGGTTAACCAAAAATGGAGTATTAGAACTTATGAGTCAAGTCGGCCCGGCCTTCAAAAAAGTGTGTCTGGAATCTGAAAAGATTTTGGAGTCCGATCGCTCTTATTTGGAGGAGCAGGCAAAGAATAAGAAATTGACTCTATCATGGAAAGTAGAACCATGAAGAAACTAACAGCATTCCTCTGAGATTGAATGGCAGTCCAATTTTACAAGACGGTGCTCAAACAGAGCCAAAATTCCTTGCTATATATTGGCGTAATCATTTTGAAAATTACTATTCGGCCGAGTCATGTTAGAAAGAAGTGATTTAAGACAATACAGGGATAAATAACGCCATTATAACACAGCAATGAAAATAAATTCTTCGCATACGTCTTCCCACATATTGGACTCATTATCGGATATATTAAGAACTGATTCTTCAGAAATCGTTTCTGGAAAAGTTATTCGGCCAGAAATTGGTGATGTGGCAACTGCTGTGACGCTTTAACTGCATGCAGAACTGATCATCAAAGCTCTTTTTGTTATGGCTAATCACACTAAACCGCATTGTTCACTTCCTTAATGTTTTGATTAAACATTTCTTCTTTTTTAGATCTAATTGTCTTTCAAAAGTGGCTTTAAAAAAAATAATTTTTTGTTAACTCACTGATAACCAGCTTAATAGTCGCTGATGCATGATGTCACTTGCCTATATACGGCGACTCGTTGGAACAATCGTGTATAACGTCAGTCACAATTCACATTGTACTGGCAAAGAAACACATTGCTGTACAAGTTCTCAAATTGTAAAGCAAAGAAATGGTTTGTCTTTTATTTTATGAAAAGGTTTTCCGTTTCATTGACCAGACACCACGTTTCCATATACTGCTCCACCCTATAGCTATATAGTTTCAACATTTTCCAATGAATGCGGCCCGCCCCAGTGGTGAGGCTCAGAAACATGAGGTGGCAAGTAGAGAGTTAATCGAAAAAATAATTTTTCAATTTTTTGCCCATAACATACAAATTTTTCGGTGATATTGGACATATTTTTGGCTACCTAGCTGGAAGCAACAACAAGAAGCGTGCAAGCTTTTAACAATTTCAGTTTGCTTCCGGATTTGAGGATAGGCAATTTTTGACTTCGTTTCAGCACGGCATTTTTTTCGATCAGATTATGTTGATGCATTTCCAGGAATTAGGGAGCTGTAAGTTTCCACTATTACTAATGATTTGGGGCCATACGTTCAAAACTCGCTAAGTGAATGGAAGTACTTACGCTCTATTATCTTGTCTATGATTGGAGGATTTTGCTTGAAAAGCCATCAATGATTGGCTGATGAACTTACGATCTCGTAACTTTTTTTGAAAGTATAGGCCCTGGTGACTGACTACGAAGTTAATCATAATGAAGCAGCTATTCATCCAGTTTGTATCAAGTGTCAGGAGCAGCAAGTTCAGATGTGATTTGAAGGCACTCGTTATCTAGATACGGATAGGTAAAAAATAAATCTTAAATACTAGTATCAGATTTTAATTCTACTTTAGTTAGATTTCTTCCCATCTCCAAAACGGCATGTGCCGGA